CGGTCGGCGGCTCCGGCGTTGGGGCCGAGCCCGGCAGAGGCCCGGCAGCAGCACGCTCAGCTCCCCCGGCAACTCCCTCTCTGTCCAGTGGCCGCTAGCTCCTGCTCGGGTCGTAGTCTGCCCTTTCTGAGCAGGCCAGCAGCCTTTTATACCTTGGCTCCCTTTGGAGCATGCCCAGTAGGGCTGTGTGGGTGGGGCCCTCTCCGCCCCCGGCCCCAGGTGGTTTCCCTGGGCTTGAGTGCGGGGCGGGGCCGCCCCGTCACAGGCTACATCTACACTGCAGCATTATTTTGAGATACTAGAGGTATCCCGAAATGGCTATTCCGCATCTTTTGAGCGCGCCCGTTATTTCAAAATATAACCCACTTGCTATTCCGACATCCCTGTAAACCTCATTCTACAAGGAGTAAGGGATACTTTGAAATAAATCACTATTCCAAAGCAAGTGCTGTGCAGAAAGCACTAAATTTCAAAATAAGCTATTTTGAAATTGACTTGAAATAAGCTATGCAATTTGCATAGCTCAAATTGCGTAGCTTATTTCGAGCTACAGGTCTAATGTAAACGTACCCTACATGAGCTTACTAAGGCCTTGTTTTACACTACAGGGGGTCCTCGCTATAAGTCCAAGATATGTTCCAAAAAACTTGGACTTATAACAAAAAACTTAAAGCGAGGAATTTTTTTCCCACGGCTCACTTCCATTTAAGCAAATTGGGGGGAGTGTTTCACCCAACTTATAGCGGGGAATGAGAGGACTTATAATGTATCAGTTCCTACAAACGTCAACGACTTTAGTGTGGAACGGATGTATACTGGGACGACTTATAGTGGGGACCCCTGTACTGGAGTAAGTCGACCTAAGTTATGCTACTCCAGCTACTTGAGTAACACAGTTGGAATTAACGTATCTTAGGTCAATTTACTGAAGTGTCTACATTGTGCTGCATTAATGGAAAATGTTGTCCTGTCAATTTATCTTACTCCTCTCAATCGGATGGAGTACCAGAGTCAACCAGAGCACACACTGAGGTCAATATCATAATACAGTTACTATCCTGGCTGGATTTGTGTGCATGGCTTTTCAACCAACAGCCCCAAAAGCGGTGGCTCCTCCCAGCAGAGGATCCAGGACATAATTGTGAGAGGAAGAGGAGAGGAGTGTTCTTCTGTCTGGGAGAAGATTAAAAGTTTTGGGTGTCAGTACCACCACCAGCAGGAGGCCATCAGTATCAGTAATAAAATATGTGTGTTCTGTTATATACCTAGCTCTGTTTTAAACCTAGTGCCACCATTTCAGGACTTTGCCTGCTTGTGACAATCTGCAAAAGATGACCGAGTCATGCAACATTTTATGAAGTGTGCTTAAAGTTAAACTCAATTAATCGCTTTGTTGATTTACGACCCCAGACCTTTTCTCAACTGTGAATTGAGTGAGGCTCTAGCTTCCAACCTGGCTCAAGATGTCTCCAGAACAATCAGTGAGAGCCATGAGAGTAACTATTGTTTAACACACTAGTAAATGTCCTTGGAAGGCTGACCAACACAAGAAACATTTAGGTTCAAGTTACTAGAACAGCTCAAGAAATCATGATCAGATAGAGAAGAAACTACCCAGCCTCAATTGATTCAAGATACAGCAATAAGTACAGATTGACAAAGAACCAAAGGCAGGAGGCAAGACATTTAGCTTAAAAAAATCTTTAACGTATATGACATAGGAGTTGATCAATTAAAATCATCTCTTCAAAAGATGCCCTTTAAGTTGCTTTACTATTTAGACAAAACAGAGAGAGCAGATTGTTAAATAGGTTTCTGAATATCAAGCTATTGACTTTTGTAGCTACCAGTGATAAGTACAGTACAAAAACACACCTCTCTCAATGTTTATAGCATTTTTCTTTTTTGAAACTCTAAGTTCTTTGATTCATTTATTTTATACCTCACAAGTGGTGTTATCACTTCTATTTTATAAATGAAAAAAAATGAAGCAAAGTTATCTTGAGACCAGAGCCTAAATTTTGCAGGAATTTGAGAAAACAAAGAATACAGTCTGGTCACAAATACAGTAACTCACTCAGGGTTGCACAGGAAATTAGAGACAAAGATCGGGATAGAAAGCAGATTTTTTTTAAACTTTCAGCACCAAATACTTCTCATATTATTACCAGCATTATCTCAAAGTCATGCTACTTAGTCCCAGGTCTTGATCTTGCTGCATATGGGCAGACTGCCATGCCACTAACATAAACCAACTGCAGGATCAGTGTTTTACTTAAGAAGGCTGACAACAAATTGCTTACCAAAACTGCCCAGTTATTTGTATGTCCACTTCTAAAAAACTGTCCTGCTTGGTCCTGCAAGAAACACAAAATATTGGATCACTTGTGTAGAAATGAACTTAGGAAAAACCTACAATGGGAGGTAAGGTGAAGGGGAAGAAAGGAACGGGAAGGTAAGGATTGGTTCTTCAAAATATAAAATGTTAATGGCAAATGGAATTTAAACCTTAAACAAACTAAACGGAAAACATAACTTCCGGTTCTGGTTTATAGTGGGGATGTAAAATCCTGGTTGACCTAATGCAGGGGTGGCCAACCCGTTCCGGACAAAGAGCCAAGATATCAGTGGATCCAATGCGAAGAGCTGAGGAAAAGTCGTAGAGCTAAAGAAAAAAAAGGACTGCCCCTTTAAGAAAACACGTTTAGCAGCTTTTTGACCACAACAAGCTCTCACTAGCCGGTATCATCTTTAAAACGCCATCTTTAATGGCCACACCGGACGGCTCCCCTGCGCCGGTGAGCACAGGGAGCCGGAAGGAGAGGGCCGTTTTCAGGTGCGTGGGGGTAGCTTTATGAGCTGAAAGGGGGGGCTTCGCAAGCCGCACCCAGGAGAGCTGGGGGGGAGAGAGCTGCATGTGGCTCGCGAGCTGGCCACGGCTGACCTAATGTTTAACTCGTTAACTGAATAAGCAGGTTCCGAGCTGGGAATCACTCCAACTCAGCTGCAACAGTCTCACACTGGGGCTGGCTCCCAAACTTGCACTAGAGCTGGAACTGCTACCAGCTCCCACCCTGTGTTTGAACTGGGACTGCCACCAGCTCCCACACTCCATACTGGAGCTGGTTCTGCCAGCTCCCAGTCACCCACCATGGACGCTCCAGACAAGAACAGACCCTTTTTGCATCTCACATCCTGTGAGGCTGAAGCAGCTCCCTGCCCATGGCAGGAAGGGAACTGCTCCAGCCCCCACTGATTACAGGTTAACCAGAACCACTAAGCATTACCCATTTAGGGTGATGCTTATCAGTTAATTGGTTAACCTTTCACATCCCTAGTTTATAGTAGGAATGTTAAATTTCAATTATTTCCATCGACTATTCAATTAGTTGTTAAGGACTAGCATGGCGTTCCACCTTTGAAAGGCCACATGGGGGCTCCTGTGCATTTCAAAGATTGAAACGCCACGTGGAGCTCGGGGTTGGCAAGGAGTCCCCCTCTGGCTCCGGGCTCCACGTGGCACTTCTATTTTGAAATGTACAAGAACTCCAGAAGGGGCTCTTGTACATTTCAAAGCGGAAAGACTCCACACAGTATTTCAATCTTTGAAATGTACAAGAGCCCCAGACTGGGGCCAGCTATGTCTAGACTGGCATGATTTTCCGCAAATGCTTTTAACGCTTTTTAAAGTGCTTTTGTGCAAAAGCATCCGTGGCCAGTCTAGACGTGATTTTGCGCAAGAAAGCCCCGATCGCCATTTTAGCCATCAGGGCCTTTTTGCGTAAAACAGTTCTTCCCTGTCTATTCTTGCCACTCTGTGCTAATGCCTCTGATACAGAGACAGCAGCCCAGGGTGCCAGACAGGAGCTGGTCCGTAATTAGTGTATTTTAAATGTTTGATTTTATTTCCATTAGCAATTGTCTCAGTATTAATTTTTTGCAAGCACAGAATTTTATTTTTTTTTGCTTTATCAAAATGTTAAATATAGGATTCCTATTAAACTATAACATATCTGGATTTAAAGTGAGCAGTATGTAATAAGTATAATTACTAAATCATGAAAACAGTAGAACTATAATACTTCCTGATCAAGGGACAATATAAAATTAACCCCTTCAGTTTTTAAAAACACGATGCTCTGAAAAATGTATCTGAATCAAATACACAAATTGATGATAATGTATTTGCATTGATCACAAAAGTGAACAACAGTATTAGTCTTGTATGTTTAACTAAACAAGAACAGTTAACTGCAAACTGAGAAGCCAAACAGCTCTCTAAAGGATTTAAAAAAAACAACCCTCACTCCCTATATTATAGTCCCTATTCAAAGAGAACTGGTAAATGGGAATACATCTGAAAATTAATTTTGATGCAACTAAAATAGTTGTTTATACATTTTATAGTTTAAATTAGGAATGCAAAAGGTTAACTGGTTAACCAGCTTGCCTCATCCATAAAAGGTGAGGCTTACTGGTTCTAGTTAACAGATAGGGTGTCCACACTATGTGGCCTGCCAGTACAGCCCGTCTGCTTCAGATCCAGCCACTCTCCCAACACCCTACAGGTTGCAGATCACACACTGGCTCCCTAGGAGTGTGGCCTCTGCCAGTCCGGTTTCCAGAGATGCTTCGCTACAAGCTCTGTAGAATCAAGTTTATTTCAGTTTTGTATTAAAGAGCCCGGGGCGCTCGCAGCCATGATCTTTAGCGGTTAAACGGTTACATTTTAAACCGCATTTTTACATCCCTAATGTAAACAAGACATGGTGCGTACTTGAGAATTCCCATCGTTTATAAGCGCATGGCGCACATTTTACATACATATGGTTATTGATACTAAGAGAGTTGGTGAAACGGGAGGATTCCCAGGCTCGGGTACAAAAGACGAAAGCAAATAAATGCAAAACAAGAGCGCCAGGGATCCACCTTCTGTGCTTGGGCTAGGAGGGGAGGGCAGCTCAAGCTACCTTCGACGTGAAATGGGAGTTTTGGGTCACGAAGCCGAGCTGATGGGGCTTTGGCAGCACTTCACACATGGGGAAGGGGAGGGGGACGGTGACGAGTCTCTCGCCCAACGCCGAGGCGGGGCTGCGGAGGCTTAACCCTCCCCTCCCCAGCAGCCGGTTTTGGGTCACGAAGCCGAGCTGATGGGGCTTTGGCAGCACTTCACACATGGGGAAGGGGAGGGGGACGGTGACGAGTCTCTCGCCCAACGCCGAGGCGGGGCTGCGGAGGCTTAACCCTCCCCTCCCCAGCAGCCGCCTGC